TTGATACTGCTATTACAAGTGTTCAAAATGGCGACCTTGAACATGGATACATAGTCTAAATCGTTGCAATACTGATGACACTGCCTGGCAAATTTCATTTGTATCTATTACAGAGCAAGCTCTTCTTATACGTTCTTGCATGTCAAGTTTGGTAGTTGGTTTTTCGCGGTACACTTCTGCCTTTAATTTTCCCCACAAATAAAAATCGAGAGGTGTCAGGTCTGGGGATCGTGCCGGCCATTTGTTACTTCCTGATCGACCTACCCAAGAATCTCCAAATTTTCTATTTAGAAATTCTGTAACATTGCGTGCTGAATGAGCAGGGCATCCGTCTTGCTGGAACCACATGGATTGTCGTATGTCCAGTGAAGTGTCTTCTAACAATTCTGGCAAAACGTCTTCTAAGATTCTCAGGTACTTACTACTATTTAGCGTGCCATCAATAAAATATGGACCAATTATTTTATTATGAAGAAGACCGCACCAGACGTTTACAGACCAAGGTCTCTGTTTGTCGACTTCTCTCAACCATCGTGGATTATCTACCGACCAGTAGTGCATGTTGTGACGGTTAATTGCTCCATGGTTTGTAAATGTGGCCTCATCGGTAAATAACAATTTACTCAAGAACATTTCATCGTCTTGTAGTTTTTGTAAGCCCCATTCACAAAATTGTAAACGTTTTGTATAATCATTTTCAGTTAATTGTTGATGAAGTGATATGTGGAACGGATGAAATTTGTTAATGTGTAATATTCGTAAAATACTTCGTTGACTGATGCCACTTTCGCGTTCCAGTTGTCTTGTACTAACATGTGGATCTTGTATTACAGCTGCTACAATATTTATCGAGTTTCCATCATCAGTTGCTCGTTTGGCAAGATTACGTGTTTTGTTATCCACAGTTCCAGTTTCTTGGAACTTTTTTATAATGTTTGTAAAGACAGAAAGTGAAGGTCTATTATTACGATCGGGAAATCTTTCACTATACACACGTACCGCTTCCCTCATAATTCTATGACATTCACCATAAATAAGAACCATTTCTACTTTCTCTGCTATCGTGTAACGCATTTTAGAAAACTAAACACTTAGACTGAATAAATGTTACGAAGCTGTGCTCTAGTCGGTAGTAAAATTACCAATAATGTTTGAGGATACGGATAAGCGTACAATGTGATTGAATGTTTGTTTATCTTTTGTGACCCGTGTCACGCAATACACACACGTGATACACAAGTATTCGAAATGTACTCTGACACAATTTATTTTCTATTGCAGTTGACTTTGGGTGACCTTGAATGACCTTAATAATAGGTCATTGTATTCGCCTTGAAACACTCTATCAGAATGTAAGTAATAAAATATACTGTTCCATTTAAAAAAACAAAGTTGACCTTCATATCTCCTTGACGCCTCCACCTACAAAAAAATTGGTAATACCAGATTATGAGCCCCCCGATACCAAATAAGTTTGGTCTAATGCATTTTCTCCTATCTTCAAAAACAAGCGAGTTATTCAGGTGACCTGTTTAAAATGCCTCACCCTGTATAAGTGCATGTTTTCTTTTTGTTAAATACGATTTGAAAAATACAGTTTCTTTCATATTTTGTTAGTCCTCGAAAGTGATAAAAGACATTAAAAAATTGATAGTTACACTTCAAAGCGTTACCGTTTCTTTAATTATTGATTTTTTATTTTTATATTTATATCTGCTATAGTCAAACTTATCCTAAATAAGAATCTGTTTTCATGCTTCGTTTCAAATGTATGGAATGGCTGAAACCATAAAAAGATGTTTGTTTTTGTTTGACAACTTTCTAGAACATGCAGAATAGCCAATTATTAATATGTTGCCTCGAAAAAATTTGTACGTGTTTAACAAATGCCGATAAATACGTGTGAATTGTTTCGATAAAAAATGTTGTACAGTTGTTTGCAAAAAAATGATCAGAAAGGGCCTTAAAATATGCGTGTGGGTAGGAAAGACGTCGAGGAATAAACGTTTATTAGGTTCATGTGGAGTTGTTGAAACATCGTGATTTCTATTTTTAAAAAGGAAATGTACGTTAGTAGTTAGGTTGAATGGGGCAGTACGTTTATTCCTTAATCTACGATCAGGATCTTTATCTTGAACTATTTCATTAACGAAATGGCGGCTATCTGGCAGATACACAGATTAGGACAAATGGGCGTACGGGGGATTATTTCGGGACGATAAATTCAAGTTGAAGCCGATTAACGGCGGAACAATAAATAAAGACAATCCGGTATCCGAGAAGATAAAAGATTGATAGGAGATTGCGCGATGTACAAGAGGCTCCTCGAGGTCTATGAAAATAAAAAGTGACTGCAGTGGCCCTCGATTCGACGAGGGTAGCGTGTTCGAGTTCTATAAGAAAGAGAATTGTTTCTCTAAGGACTTAACCTCCATCCTCTTAATGAACGTTTGGCTTCTTCTACACCTGCGGTGTCGCAGAATCGGGTATCGACTACTCTACGGATGTTGCACCCACACACAGTGGGGCCAAATGCGAATCTAGTTAATAAAAATAACCATACTCGTTAAATACAGCTTACTGTATTAACTATTTTGGGGTCTTTATGAAGGGAACATGGTTTCACAAGTTTGGAACATGGAGGTTTGAATCGCGGAAACAATTTATTAAAACTTTTTACAGCTATTTGAATTATATACAGTGAGTGTAAAAAGTATTCGTACACTAGTCAGTTTGAACAAAAACTTTGCAGGACTTTGTTTATTACAAAAGTATGTTAACAAAAACATGCATACATATTCTTAGAAATCTCTGGAACAAATGTCATTAACAACAAATTATTTATTTATATTTATTATGAAAATATTAACAAATTTCCAGAAATTGGCGTGAAATATACGTGTAATAAGTATTCGTACACTTCTAATTTTACAACAAAAACTATAAATTTTAGTACATAAACGTAACAAAAATCAGTCTATTTACTATTTTAGTATCTAGTGGGATTTCCTTTAGATTGTATAATCGCTTTAAGCCTTTGCGGCATTGAATTTACTAAATTTTTGGTTATAGTACTAGAAATTTTGTTCCATTCCTCTAAAAGTACATTTTTTAAATCTTGTTTCGAAGAAATGTGATGGTCTCGAATTTTTTCTTCAAGATGACTCCATAAATGCTCTATCACATTTACGTCTGGAGACTGTGGAGGGATTTTTAATTGCTGCGGCACATTATATAGGATCCACTGACGTGTATTATAAGCATTATGCTTTGGATCATTATCTTGCAAAAATATATAATTGCCCTGTAACTGCATTTTATTTGTACTAGCCTGACGACGCTCTTTTCGAATATCGATGTATATTTTGTGATCCATGATACCATCGATAAAATGGAGGGATCCAACCCCGCTCGCACTCATAGAGCCCCAAACTGTGACTGATCCTCTTCCATACTTTACGGTCGGCTTCAAATTTCTTTTTTCGTACTCGGTATTTTTTTTCCGCCATACTGTACATCGTCCATCTGACCCAAATATGTTAAATTTACTCTCATCAGTAAATATAATACCGTTCCAGTGCTCCATAGGAACATTAACGTACTCTTCCGCGAATTGCAATCGTTTCTTTCCATTAATTTCATTTACGAAATATTTCTTACGAGCTACTCTGCTGTGATATCCTCTATCCCGTAAAAAATTACGCACTGTGCTACTGCATTCATCAATGTCCAGATCATTTTTAAGTTCAGCCGTGATTTTCACCGCACTTCTCTTTGGATTTTGCTTTATTTTTCGAATTATCCATCGGCCGGTATACTCATTTATTATTCGTTTACGTCCGTTTCTTGGATTATTTTTTACAGTTTTTCGATCGCCATATCTAATGATTCCTTGAATCCTGGACCTCGGTCTATTTAAAACTTTAGGAATTTCACTGACAAGGGGAGGTCATTCCCTGTCAACCTGGGATTTCAACCAAATTTGGCAGAGTTGTTGGGGCTGATGTCCAAACGCAATCTGTAAAATACTAGACGTTTATGGCCAGCCATTTTGTTAAAAAATGGCCTTATAGTTTAAAATTTCGAAGTTGTCGGATCGACGTTAAATTGTAGGTCTCGAAGAGGGGAACACAAAAGTCCAATACATTTTTGCCGTAACATCAATAGTTTAAACAAAAATTTGAGTTTTTGTGACGGGATAAATGCATATGTACCGTATAGTTGGAGCGTATTTTCAGCAGTCATGGTAGCCGTATAGTTAGCGTCTAGGAATTCGGGTCGGAAGACTGAGGTTCGTGTCCCCGGAACTAGAACATTTTGTTTTTTTTCTTTTCTTCGCTTATTTTTGAATTTTTATCTATTTTTAATTTTAATTTTTAATATCATGGAAAAAGATGGCTGTTACAAATAAATAAAATACTATTATGGTTATAAATGTTTATTTTCACACATACTTACAAACATATTCTCATATATATTTACATCTCACGTATAAATAAATACAAAAATTAGATATTTATTTCATACGGGTTTCGCAATGCATTGTATGATTTTTATCATAAAAACAGGAAAATCATAATGGTTTCATACACCAAGCGCGTGTTACAAATGCTTGTTCTGTACAGCATTTTTTATTTCTTAGGGCGTTGTAAAGTAAATAGCGCTTTTTGAGCGAATGCGTTATGCCCGGGTTGACCAGTGAAGGATTATATTGCGGTACGGTAAAGGAGGTAGAACCTAGGCACGGACGTCAACGATCGTCGCCGACTCGCGGGACCATATAGCCATAAAACATCTGCAAAAGACGCAAGGCAACTCTGCCGCATCGCTAATTCGGAATATCGTTTTTTCATCCCTAAATTTGCGCGACCTTCGACCTGGGGAGGATGTTTTGGGCACGTGTACCGCGACAGGCCTTACACTCTATTGCATTGCAATGTATTCAGTGCCAAGGTTCTTACCGTAATTTCGTCCCCTGTGCGAAGAAATATTCCGTAGCCCTGTACGTGATGAGACAAAGCCACTACAGAACAATACCAACATTTGGCTGCCAGAAATTTCCCAAAAATTGGAAAGTAACTGTCCTCACCAGTGCGTTGACAACCTAGTCGCCGTCACCCTTTGTATCTACCTCTACTTTTTATTTCCAAGACCACCCCCGCTATTTTCTCCAAAAAACCCTCCCACGACGTTCCTAATAACCAATTGCAGAATTATATCCGCTCAAAGCTTTCCATCACCTCAAATAGCCTCCACCAATCAGGAATCCTCCGACGTGTAATTTTAAGTAAAAATTGTCATCGAAGTTAGTTCGTTCCGACACCATACCTCTTGCAACATAGAAAAAACGCGCCTTTTGACTACCGATTTACTGCAGACTTTATCTACTAATAAAATGGAATCTCAACCGTCTACTTCGGTCGCAGCAGTGAACGAAGAGTACAAAATTATTTGTGCAGACGCTGTGGATTTCGCAGTACGTTCCTTGCGGTCAAAAGGTTTGATTGCCGAAAAAGCATCCGGCACCATGACAAGTGCTGCAATTATAATTGGGAATGAGTTTCTCAAACGCATCGAAGATGCTATAGAAGGCATGGTACTCTGTGAGGAAGAGGTAGTAGTCCACTGTGAAGAGGATGAAAATGCAGACGACCAATTTGTGGAGGAAACTGGTCCCTACGAAGAAGTATCCAGCGAGGGAAGCAATACTGACAATGAATCTACATACAGCCCACCCGCAAAGAAGGAGAAAAGAGAAGTTATTTCGTGGGCTACCAAAATAAAAGCAGTAACCGCTGCAAAACTCCATCCTACGTGGACTTGGAAAACCCTTCAGAGGAGTGTGACAAGGCAGCTGTGCTCTGCTAGCCAATTATTACATTGGAAACAGATAATTGAAAGAAATTGTTCTTCACATGAAAAATATCATGTAATTACACAGTGGACAGTAGACAGATTTCTCGAGGCTCGCCAATTGAAGAAGCAAATAACTACAAGAATGTTGCAATTATGGGCTTTACAAGCTTCAAATCAATTTAGATCAGATGATTTTAAGTTCAGGGCTTCAACATCGTGGGTGAAAAAATTAAAACGGGAACAAAGAATAAAACAACGAAAAATAACGCGTTTTATATCGAAGAAAGATACATTAACCGTGGAAGACATTATGAAATCAGCACAGTTCTTTCAAGACCAAGTTCAAAAGATAATATCCACATTTCAAGAAGATTACATTATTAATACCGACCAAACTGGATGCGAATACAAAATCCAACCCAAGAGAACGTTAAGCATTCAAGGTGAGAAGACCACTGAAGTTGCAGTGGGGAGTTTAAATAAAATATCACATTCGTACACAGCGCAGTATGCAGTAACATATTCGGGAAAACTTTTGCCAAAAATATTTTTGTGCCTGCAAGAAGTTGGAGGAAATTTTGGACCACGGGTAGCAGTAGATGTTCGAAAACAAGAAGAGGAATTAGGCAATGTACATGTAACTTGCACAAAGTCAGGGAAATTGCAATCTGATACCTATCAATTATTTTTGGAAAATATATTAAAACCTTACGTAAAAGCAAATAAATTCTTATTAGTCATCGATTCGTGGACAAACAAATCCAGCATTATATGACAGGATCTTTTATGATCCGGAAGATAAAAATATGGCTACCTGCACGTTAAAAGTGATACCACCAAAATGTACACCCATTTGCCAACCGTGTGACATGTATTTTTTTAGACAGGTTAAGAACTTTCTTTCAAGACTCCAAAACGCCCTAACATTAATCCGCGAAAACAGAGAAGTAACCAATAGACAGGATATAATAAAATTACATTCCATAATCCATTATCAATTATCTGTTCCAATTTTTACCGACATGATTAAATATGCATGGTATGCGTCTAAACTCACCCCTCCGAATCATAAAAAAGAAATCTTTTGTAACGTGAATCAAGTATGTTTTCTACACGACCTAAGAAATAAAAAATGCTGTACAGAACAAGCATTTGTAACATGCGCTTGGTGTATGAAACCATTATGATTTTCCTGTTTTTATGATAAAAATCATACAATGCATTGCGAAACCCGTATGAAATAAATATCTAATTTTTGTATTTATTTATACGTGAGATGTAAATATATATGAGAATATGTTTGTAAGTATGTGTGAAAATAAACATTTATAACCATAATAGTATTTTATTTATTTGTAACAGCCATCTTTTTCCATGATATTAAAAATTAAAATTAAAAATAAATAAAAATTCAAAAATAAGCGAAAAAAAGAAAAAAAACAAAATGTTCTAGTTCCGGGGACACAAACCCCAGTCTTCCGACCCGAATTCCTAGACGCTAACTCCACGGCTACCATGACTGCTGAAAATACGTTCCAACTATACGGTACATATGCATTTATCCCGTCACAAAAACTCAAATTTTTGTTTAAACTATTGATGTTACGGCAAAAATGTATTGGACTTTTGTGTTCCCCTCTTCGAGACCTACAATTTACGTCGATCCGACAACTTCGAAATTTTAAACTATAAGGCCATTTTTTAACAAAATGGCTGGCCATAAACGTCTAGTATTTTACAGATTGCGTTTGGACATCAGCCCCAACAACTCTGCCAAATTTGGTTGAAATCCCAGGTTGACAGGGTATGACCTCCCCATGTCAGTGTTTTACACTTATTATGTATAGCAATTTTCCTTTCTTCTTCAGAGGTTCCCTTGCGTTTTCGTCCCATTTTTTGATAATTTCGTTGATAATGTTTGAATTCAGGATACTACCTATACCGACAGCGTCTCCAGACATACTGATGCTAAGTATGTTTACATATCATGGATTATCTTGTAATCGTTCTATGTGGAATGTTACGAATCAAAGACTGTACGAATACTTATTACACGTATATTTCACGCCAATTTCTGGAAATTTGTTAATATTTTCATAATAAATATAAATAAATAATTTGTTGTTAATGACATTTGTTTCAGAGATTTCTAAGAATATGTATGTATGTTTTTGTTAACATACTTTTGTAATAAACAAAGTTCTGCAAAGTTTTTGTTCAAATTGGCTAGTGTACGAATACTTTTTACACTCACTGTATCTCATTTTTGAATTCTGCTTACTTATTATTGTAAAAAATTTGATAACATACTTGAGTTTAGGGATGCGAAAGTAAAGGATTTATCCTTTAAAATGATCACAAAAAGATTGTTGTGCAACCTCTTTTTAATACTTTAATATTTACTTTAGTATTTTAAAAATGGATACGTTTTAGTAAAATGTACCGTGAGTAAACTTTTTATTTTTCAATGTATTATATTACATTATATATTAAATTGGTTAGTTTTATTTAGTTAGTTTCTAAAACGTGGTAGATATTTAGGTTTCCTTTCTGAATTTACCTGTGCTATACAGGGTGTTCGGCTACTGCTGGGAAAAATTGTAATAGGAGATTCTAGAGATCAAAGTGAGACGAAAATCAAAAAAATCAATTTGTTGATTGAGGCTTCGTTAAAAAGTTATTAAAAAATTAAATTAAAGAATTTCAAATCATTCTGAAAAAATTATTTTCGGTTACGGGGGTCAATTACAATTGGTGAATAGACACACCCCCGAAATCCTACCCACTTTCAAGAAAAAAATTCGAGTAGGTGAACAAATTTTTCGACAAAATTAAAAAATTCCAAATCGTTCTAAAAAAATTATTTTTGGTCACAAGGGTCAATTACAATTATTTTCGATAGACATGCCCTCGAAATCCTGCGCATTTTCGAGAAAAAATTCAGTAAGGGCGGAACTTTAAACGTCAATAACTTTTTAAATGTGAGGGTTCAAATCAAAAACTAATTTAAAAAAAAAATCGACGGGAGGCTGGTACTGAAATTTTTCGGGAAAATTAAAAAATTTCAAATCATGTTGAAAAAATTATTTTTGGTTGCAGGGGTCAATTACAATCATTTTTGGTGAATAGACATACTCCCGAAATCCTACGTATTTTCGAGACAAAAATTCTTTAGCGAAAATATACTGTGTGGCCAGAAATGTTTCCTCGAAATTGTATTGCTCGTATGTTTAAAAAATCATAACTTCTGGACAAATTGGTATTCTTGATTTTCGTCTTATTTTGGCCTCTAAAATTACTCATTAAAATTTTCCCCAGGGGTGGCGGAACACCCTGTATAAAGCAATACTTCGATAATTGCGAGTTATTTTCGATTGGATAAGTGAAGGGTAGTCATCCCTACTACTTATTGCGGGGAGGGGACTTCCCCTTGACTCATCAAAGAAGCTCAACGTCGAGTGGACCGCGAAGTGTAACCTGGTCTAGGCTCGAATATCGCTGAGACAATAGTACATAATGCAAAGATGAAACTGTTTTATTTTTGTCTTTTTTTCGATAAAACTTTTACCAATGTATTTGTGAGAGTTTTCCGATAAAAATAAGACCAAACACGATATAATTTGTTGTTAACCTACTCCTAATGAAGTACAAAATTTCGTTAAATACGCAGATACCCAAGTTATCGAGCTTGGTCTTGTTTTAATCAGAAAAACCTGACAAATATCTTGGTAAAGGTCACCCCATTAACAAAAACTTCAAAATGAGCAAGTTTTACATTGTATTATTCTTATTTGTCTTATAACTGAAAATTAATCATGCTTTTATAATTGCGAGAGTTCGATTTCATGTTTCTCGCAGTTATCCAGTATTTGCTGTAATTCGAAAGCCGACTTCCTGAATGTTAGTTTCGCATGCAAGTTTTATCGTCTGTTCGAATCACGTGAGGAGTAAGTAAGTACACGTGCGTCTATAGTCGGACGACGCTGAACTTATGGCATTCCACGTCGCGTCGCGTCGTTTCGAAGAACGTTGTTGCCTGGGTATGAATTCTGAGTCATCGCACGGGTAAATAGGGTCACGTTACATCATTAATTTCTCTTCTCTTGACGTATAATCGGCATTGCTGAATGCACCATACCTGCTCGATTTAACGACGACAAAAATTGATTGTTCGGTCATGGAAATTTGATTTCGACTCCGTGTATTCGTACCCCCCCTTATTAGAAAGGGTTCTGCGTTTAATTGGTTAGTGTATTTCACAGAGGTGGCTTGATTTTTACCTAGTTTCCTTAAACGAACCGGTTAATTCGTGTGATCCGTCGAGCAGAAAAGTCTTTTATCCCTTTTGCTCTGTTTTACACACAAACTCAGAGTAGGCTGATGGTTCAAAGGATTAAATTATACCAGTTTTTGCTGATTTCGTTGTCGGTGTCGCGAACAGAATATATCGACCCCACCGTCTTACGACTGAAAACGTTAGTCCTTTAGAAAATCGCCTCAAAGTGTCCGTTTCGAATAATTCTTTAATTCTTTTAAGTTTTTATTTATCAATTAATTTTTCTATTTTATTTTCCAACAAGTTTCAAAGATTATAAATTAAAAAACTCTTTCTTAATATTCTGACTATTAATAACGCTGTCTTAACGTTTTTTAAACTGTTAGAGTAATGTCCCGAATATTGACAAAAGGGTATAGCCGAATAAGGGGGTCAAATGTGCCCCCAAACCGAATGGAACGAGCCACGGGTCATTCGATAGCAAAAAAAAAATAACCCCTGTGTGCAAATTTTTAACTTGAAATCTCGACCGTGGGGGTAGTAATGGGGTGAAAACGAAAATCATGTTTTGAATTATTTCTCTTGACCTATTGAGTAAAAAAATGTAAAAAAATTCAGAGACATTTCGGGTACCGGGGCACATACTTTGGGAGATTTTCAGATTTTTTGATTGAAGAACCAGGTAGTGAAAAATAAAAAACAGCAAAAAATGCCGAAAAATGCCGATTACGTATTGAAGGAGGCCCGGAACTACTTTTATACTTTTACAGTAAACAGGTATTACTATTACTATTACTCTCAATTTTTTTCAGATTTTTCATTTTGGTGCGCCGCAGTGAAAAAAAATAAAAACCGAGTTTTTCCTCGTTTTCTGCGTATTAGAGTAACTTACACGTTGAATTTTTATGCATCCTTCAATATACATATAAGTGTTTTGTAGACTGTTTAATGTTCCTACACTAAGCAGAATTACATAACAATTGAAACAAATAAAATAAAGCCAACCATTGGGTGTATATATCCTAAAAAATCAACGATATTTTCAACGGCGTCGATGGCGTAGCGTTAGAGTGTCCGACTGCTGAACCGCTGGAAGTTTTTTTACCGTAGGTTCGAGTCTCTCTTCTGGACTTAGTATTTTTTTTTCTTCATTATTTTTTTTTTCAAATTCTAACTATATAACAATGCTTTATATTTATTTATAAATGTTCTGATAGCATTTTACAAATATTTTAACCTGAAATATGTATAAATATAGTCTTGAAGTGTTTTTTGCGTTTTTATTTTTTTTGTCAACCACGATTATTGTTTAACATCTCTTACACTGAAATTAATGTGAAATGTTAGTTTTCAAATCTCTTACCTTTGACTATTGTGAATGGATCGGAGCAGAAGATTGTATATTG